TAGATCAACATTCCCAGCACAAGGGGGGTGGGGTGAGAAAGCCAGCATGGGGTATAGAGAGGTCTCATGAAGTCCGCTAAAAATGACACACAATACCACATTTAAGTAAGCAATTAAGAAAGTGTGATAGTAAAGAGGTGGTATGAGGATATTTGAAGTTGAATACACCAGAACAGGAGGAGAGATACCACAACTATTTAGCAGACAATCGGTCAGAGGATCAACTTCACTTGTCTCTTTGATGAGTTGTAGTGTACTGCTAAGAATGGCAAGGCTCAATGACGATGCCGACTGTGATGCCGGCGAAACATCTGTGAATGTACCAAGTCCATGGTCCGATTCTGGAAAGGATCATGCATACTATGGACTCGGGACTAGATCTGTTCCTTTAGGTCTTCCTCCCAATATGAACAAGTAGCGAAACAATGTCAAAAATCAAACTTGGCTATTCGAGGTTAATTGTCTCGTTCCTAGCACGGCTTATATTCTTCACTTTTTATATATTCCCTGATTTCATATTAAGTCATAAAAATATAATGGATTAATGGGCCCTGCTAAAGGCTTTAGTACAAAAAAAAGAACAGGGTAAACTTTTATCAAGCCAGTTTACCCGTCAAAAATGCGTCTGTTGCCACCAGGTCCGCTTGTACTGACCGCCGGAGACAGGCCTGCAGGGCTTCAAAGAGTTGCTGAAGCAGACCTTCAATGGCTGTCTTGACTGGCAGGCAGTTGACTGTGATACAATCGATGTGCAACTCGCACGGCAGACGTTCAACTTCCTTTCCACGCGACTTCAGCGCCTAAGAAATTTAAAAAAAAATTGAACTTGATCAGTGCCTGAATAGATTTGTTTAGGGCGTTTGAAGCATGTCATTATTTTGCTGTAAGTGAATACACTATTTCACAATATATTTTCCACATTTAATTTCGGCTAATTTTTTCAACAAATAGTCTATCTCCTGGATGGAACAAGTAATTTTGGGTAAACAGCATTTAAATTCTTATCCAATTTAATTATGTAAATTTCCAATATCTCAACTTGAAGTACACACAGTCGAGTAGGAACATCCGACTTGGTCATTGATAGAAATTTGTGAATCAACAACCATCAAATGTTGTCAGCTCGAAACTAGAAAAATGAAATAAGAATAACTGGCGTGTAAATCCTATTAGATGTTATAAATTGATATAGAGAACTAAGTGTTTCTGACACCAATACCAGCTCCAACAATAACACCAAAGCATTATCTCTATTCTAATGAGATTTGTAAGTCAACGCTGACACGAGTTTGCACTTATGCGAAAAGCCAGTTCAAGATAGTTAGTCTTGTGATGCCAATGACGGCAATGGCCAGCATGGAGGCCAAAATGACTCAATGGATTGTAGTGATGGTGGGGATCACTCGCCAAGTAAGCCAAATGGTTACGTCACTATGAAATCGCAGTGAGTGGAAAACGCGATAAAAAGAATTAAAAAAGGGAGAGTCACCAAGATTGGGTGAGCCTTGATAAGTGATGAAGCAATTTATTCTACCTTATTCGAAAATGGGGTATAATAGCAACAATCATGCTTAAGCTAATCCAAAAAACTCCAGCAATGCACTTCGATGCCAGTAGAGTGAGGCTGGTTTGTGGCAGAAATTCATGGAAATCAGAGCTATCGGGATCTAATGTCCGAATAACCAGGCTTAAATCCTATTTGGTCTGTGGATAAGACCGATGCGAATCCGAACCTATTGTCTCACAAAAAATATGGTATGGCCTTCCTTGAAATTCACCTCTTCCCAGTGACCCAAGAGTTGTCGTGACAGCGCCTTGCGTGGTCGAGATTATATGTTGTGCCACCACAACCGAGTTCGAGTCCTGCTGGGGGTGCTGATGAGACCTAGGCGAGGTCGAAACTGCAGTCCACTTCTGCCTGGATGAGAATACCTTGTGGCAAAGCAAGGCTATGCGAAATTCAATTGAAACATAAGGTCTACTCATATGATTGTAGGAAAATTCAACCTCACCGTAAAACGAAATAGGAAGAATACAGCTCTTATCTAACTTTAGTGAGTAGGTGAATAAAAACTTGGCATGCTGCCTATTTGCATTCATATGAAAATGAATAAATGGCTTTTCTGATAAAAATATCCACTAACCTTAAAGTTATTCTCAAAGTCTGCCACATCACGACAATGTAAATCGACAAGTTCGTCTAAATTCAGGTCAGCGAGTGCAAGCCAATCACGAAATCGATTGAGGCAGGCGACAAGTCGAAGGAAAAGGAACTCGGCTCTTCGATAGCAGAGGAAGAGGCTGCTGGCTTGGTTGTCGATCAGGCGGGGAAAGATAAGCTGCTGTCCCATCTGGGCAGCTGGGTCGGCTGGAAGTTCCGTCAGACCACGAAACTGGTTTGGGATTCCAATGAATTTACGCATCTCACGATAGTAGCGTGCCTTGATCTGGCGTCATCGGTAGCCATGGCAGAAATGGCGAAGGCGAAAAAGGAGGCGGAGTAGAAGTTTCGGAGATTCGAAGAGGGCGGTTGCAACCGAGGCGTTTGTGTTGGTGGTAGACATTGTGAGGATGGGGATTGTGAGGGTGGCGGTTTTTAATGGGATTTGAAGTAGGGCAAACGAAGAGTGGATGAGTTTCTATAATTCTTTCCTTGTTATAAAGACTATTAGTCCACAAAAAAGTGAATAACTAAAAGATCCGTTGCTTAATTTCGCCGGAAAATAAGGGCTGATTAATTTTATTATGCAGTCGATCTTTAGGTTGCCACAGTTCACGAGGCATCCTTCTTCGTTTAGAAGAATAACTGATTTAACTTTTGTCCATCATGTCAGTTTAGAGACATTCTTAGAGCTAAAACTTATCCTTGAAAAAGCTTCGAGTCAAGAAAACTGTCTGGCTCTACCATATATTATTTATATTCTAATAAGAAAAATGTATATATATATATATATTGTGTGTATTAGTATCTGCAAGTGTGCATATCAGAGTACACAATATTAGGATGACAGTCTTCTTGACTTGATGTTAACTTAAAACGTTTGCAAGAATGAGTCCAATCTCCGACAATGCCCTTCATCTTACATGAAGGGCGAAAGCTTAAACCATTTTCCCTCTA